AATCCTGCCTATTTGAAAAGGCAAAGTTTAGACTCCTTTCTAAAATGAGCTTAACTAGAAAACTTAATGAAATCATTCATCATATTTATCTGCAGGAATAGTCTTAACAATAAGGATTTATTTGAACTTATTGCTATTGATTCTAACATAAATATGATCATTAATTTATTCATTGTACATGCATATGATAATGTAATGTTCCTCTTGGAAGGGGTTATATATTTTGCCCTTTAAAATGAGCAGCATTATTCCCTGGAGAAGCTGATTAAGCAAATTTACTTGACAGACAAGCTGCAAGATGAGGATAAGAATAGTATAGGAAAAGATGTGATTCCTTATTTTGATCAGGTAATTATTCCAAAGAACTCTTATGACTTAAATAAGATTTATAATATATTAGCACTAAAGCGATCTGTTCGCGTTGAAGGCAGATAAAGGTAGTAAAGTAGTCCTCACGGATATGTTAATTTATATTGAAAAAATGATCATTTTTTCAAATGATTAAGAAACATAAAACATTTTAATTAAGGATCCCACAGAGCGTTGTAAAGACAGATTAAGGGATTAACTTAACGTTTATGTAACTAAGGAATAAATTGGGACGTGGAAAAATAATTCATTTCTTCTACACCTTGAGCTTACGGCTTTCCAAAGATACACAAGTAGGGAGTTCCTTTAAGCTTGACTATTAATAACAAAAGAAGTGTGATGAATAGAATTTCACGATTCTTATGCAGATAATTAAGGGAAATTGCTAAGTATTCGAGATATTCAGTCAAGAATTCATATAAATTTGTTAGACAGTTAAATCAACAGAGTATTAGAGAGGAGGATCTATTGGTAGATTTAGATGCGTTATCAATGTATACTAGCATCCTAGTTAAGAAGGCTTTTAAATAACATGCACTCAGCCTATATAAACAGCAGGAAATTACTGGGGAAGCAAATATGATCAGAAGCAAAATCTTAAGGCTACTCAATCTATCTATGAGTAGCACATACTTTACATTTAACGATAAAGGTTATAACAGTTGTAAAGCCTATCAATGGGATCTTGTTTGGCTCCCATTTTAGGGAATAATTACATATCATAGACGGAGGACCGCTTCATGGAAGAGGTAAAATTTATACCAAAATTGTTAGTTAGATATAGGATGATAACTTTATGATATGTTAGTTAATTTCTAGTTCTTAATTAATTAGATTGATTGCAATGTTGAGTAGACACTGGAGAGAGTTAGGGATAATAATTTACATTTTCTTTAGATTTTTTGGTGATCTGAGCAGGTGATAAGTAAACCAGGGATGTAAATGGTAAATAAACACACACTGGCCTTATTCTTAAATTCTTGTCCAACTTTAGATATAAAATAAAGCCTGGCGTTTTAAAATCTATAATTATAGTGGGAATAATAATAATAGAGACCCTGGGTCTGATTGAAAGTAATATTAGATTTATAAATAATTCTTATTTGAATGGCGAATACGTAGATCTTTTCTCATGTTTTGTCTTTGCCTTCGTGCATTTTCTCTAAAAGGATAGGTTAACAAGTAAGGAAGTGGGGAATAAAAACGGTTTTCAGGAAAACTACAGCACTTCATTTATGCCCACTTTTAGAGAGGAAGTTGACCCGTCATACACATCGGGCTGCTCAAATGATGTCCGTCATGAGACGGATAAAATCTTAGCATGCTTCCAATAGAATTGAAATTGATTGACTCGGGAACAGCGTAAGCAAGTATGTTCTAGTAAAGCCAATTGACAGCCAGTCAAGAGGAATCAGCAATCGTCTTCTGGTGGAACTGACCTTCGAACCTCTTCACCCAATACTTTCACTCAAAAGTGAAAGAACCTCAACAATTATGAAACAAGAGATTCATTGAAACGCAACATTTCCTCGCAGCATTATTCTGATAGGAAGCTTTCTGGCTAATTAAGAATATATGCATTTATAATATTTTAATCGAAGGTATGAAGACAAAGAAGATGTGGTCTTTTCTATATTCGCGATCTCCTTCCGTTGTAGAGTAGTTGTTTCACTCTGTTTTCGCAACTTGGCCATAATGGCAGGAAGACCTATAGAAACACACCTAGTCCGGAGTCCATAGTATGCATAATAATTTCCACAGTTGGATCATGGACTTGGTAAATTCCCAGACGTTTCGCCGGCATCGTCAGTGAGCCTTAATAGTCTTAGCACCACACTGCAATTCGTCAAAGAGATAAATGAAGTCAATCCCTTGACCGATTGTTTACTAAATAGTTGTGGTATCTCGCTTTCTGTCCTGGACTATTCACATCTCCAGCATCCTCGTATAACCTCTTCACTATCACAATTTATTACTTGCTTATTTAGCCGACAATTGGTCAAAGGGTCGACTTTACTCGTTCCTTTGACGAGTTGTAGTGCGGTGCTAAGACTGTCAAGGCTCAATTGCAATGCCGGTGAAACGTCTAAAATGTGCCAAACCCCTGGTCTGACTGTGGAAATTATCATGCATAATGTGGTCTCTAAACTAGGTGCATTCCTCTAGGCCTTCCTACCAATATGACCGAGTTTCGGAAACAAGTCAAACAACTACTTATTTTAATTTAAGTAATTAAAATAATTGAATATCTAATCAATATTAGGTTAAAACAACAAAAATAAAGTGCAAATCGGCTTATATTAAGGTTAAGAAATAATATGCTTATACGTCAATCTCATCATAAGATGACTAAAAATTCCTCCTGCCAGAAACTCCTTTGAAAATACTATTAGGCTATCTTTTACATAGAATTAGAGAAATCCCTTTTCAATTCTTGGGAAAGCGAGCTGGCTCTTTGTATTTTATGCTATTTGACGGATATCATAAGAGCTGTGCCTTATTTTTACAAAAATTAATTATATCATTAAATAGAGAAGTTTAACTGCTTCTTAAATAAATGAAAATAATTTGATAATATTGTCTATAGAGAAATTTGATTAATTTTCTCTTATTTAAATCTATATACCTGTAGCTTTGAATGCGCGTAATTCAGGATACGAAACGATCCGTCATAAATCTAAGTACAACATCAGCCTAGGGTCAACAATGCTTGATTACTTTAGGAAGAGCATGACTGCGATTGTATAATCCGTTAACGAATGTCTGGTTGAGTTGATGAGTTTTCCAGGTGTGTTGAACGCAAGTTAACATCGATAGAACCATCATAAAGTTGACTAGGTCAGTCGACAACTTCACACGAAAGTAGGCTTAAGCTTACAACAAAACCATGCGATATATTGCAACATTTAGTCTTGAACCAACGAAAAAGGGTATATGCGCTTGTTTTTATGTGTATCTGAATAGAGATTTAGCATAGCCTACCGCTGACTTGCACACGTGTCGACACCAACTCCTCAGTGATTGGTTGACCGAGCATCGGAACCTGTACCGTAGGCACAGTGAAACAGGAGTACTCGCCGGAATGACCCAGCTCAGCCGACTCAATCACCAGTCGGGCAGACGCTATTCTTTCGCCTGGGATGGCCAATGCCACCATATCGGCTAGGCGTAGACTGTCATTTCCGGTGCCTACTACAGGCATTTGTTGCGAATAGACACCGTCTGGCAATTGGGTGCCGTCAGATCGTCGCCACTCAATCCGCTTTTGGAAGGTGCCATCAGGCCCAATCGAGGCGATACATTCTGCATGTACCGATTCTCCTGGTGCTAAGAACACATCAGGCGTCTGGACACGGATGTCTATCAGAAGAGCAAAAAGAGTTAAAGCCTGATAAAAGGATTTATGAAATTCATAGTCGACTGGAATTTTAGGCTTTGACGGAATGATTAACGTTGAAGATGAGCCCAACATTGATTAACGAATAACTTTCCAACGCTGAGATTTTTTTGGGAAATTCTTTCGCACTGATAAGCAACTGAGTCTACATAAGCAAGAAAATTATTTTCCATAACTAATAGCTAGTAATATAATTTATTTATAGCAATACAATTACTATAATGATATTATTATTACCATCAAGCAATTAATAATAAAAAATAAAAGTAATATAAAATATAGTAATAAAAAAATATTTAATTTTCCAACTCCCCAATTTTCCATGTTGTCCCCAGATGAATATATGATATCCTTTTGTACACGAAATGATGATGGGCACAAGGCATATCGATCAGTTGATAATATACTGCGAGCAACAATGAACTTGCAACCTACCGTGAAATTGGCCACTCAATTAACAAATATTTCATGAAACTGACTACCAAATAAAATTATTTATAGTAAGTGTATTCACCCTATTTCGAAAGCCTACTGATAAAGGAAAAATAAAATTATTTATAGTATGGAGGAATTGTATAAGGGTATGCAAGTCCAAGATGGCCTATTTGCGTATGCTTCTAAAGGAAAAGGCATGTTCCAGAAATAGCCCTACTTTTTAAAACTAGAAGACAACTACGGGCAATGGATTCTCTGAAGTCTGCCTCTGGGATAGCGTATCTCGCCCTAACAT